GTAAAAAAAAAATGCCCAGCTGGAAGTCCAAGTAGCTCACCGGATAACCGGTTACTTACCCATTGAAACAGCTAATTTTGTTGATTTTTTATAGCTCATGGACTTGATTGACTCGAAAAAAAGTACATGGACTCAATTGACTTTTTGTTAAAAGTACATGGATTTATTTGACAGTTTTCCCAAATGTAAAATCAACAAAATTGATTATTACAATATTCACAAGTACTTCGTACATACTTCCTTCACCATCCAGCATAAAAAAAATACTCCCTCCGGTCCTTATTAAAGTTCTCAGTTTGACTTCACACAGATTAAGAAAATAAATTTGACTTTACTGTGGAGTGCACTGTTTGGACACTGTTTGGCATTGTTTTGCACTGTTTTGTTTCCTAAAATGGAAGTGTGAACTTAAATAAGGGACATCCCAAAAAGAAAAGTGGGAACTTTAATAAGGACCGGAGGGAGTATCAAAACAAAAACAAAAAAATTGTTTGTACCCACCCTAATACCCACTTTTATACCCACCATGTTTGTACAGTTTTTTTCTTTTGTCTGTGAATCCCGGTCACAGATAAAAAACACTCTTCACAAACATGTTGGGTATAAAAGTGTGTACAACAAGAAGTTCTCAAACAAAAAACATATCGTTTTTTTTTTAAACAAAAAAAACAGTATCAATTTTGTGTATAAAAAATATAAAAAAAATGATTGGCTATTGAGAATATCTGGAATTAGGGCTTGTTTGCAATCACTTAATTTAAGTGATTGTGGTTTTTTTTAAGAAAAAAGCACTTATTTTACCAAACACTACCAACTTTTACTTTTCTGAGCTTCCGTATAGAATCTACTTTTTACTTTTTCTATTACACAAAAAGCACTTATTTTACCAAACACTACCAACTTTTACTACTAATAACTTTTTCCCAAAAAGTGCTTTTATTTAAGCACAATCACTTGCAAACAAAGCCTTAGTGATTTCCAGAAGATATACGGAGTATATGTTTATCAAAAATGCTTCTTGTACCCACCAATTATACACACTCTGTACCCACTATATAAAGACCATTTTTTTTACCGTCCATTACCCTGCATCTCTCTTTTCCCTCTTCCACTTCTCATCGCCATTTCTTTTCTTTCTCTCCCCCTTCCCCAAATCCCTAGTCCCACATAGCAAAGCTCCTTCCCCATCGTTACCTGTCCTCACCGCATTCATTTCCGTCGCTCTTCTTCACATATGCCCGCCTTCACAGTCACCTTCCTCACCCAAGAAAATTGTCCACTCGGGTAGCAGAAGCTTGAAGACCAAGGAATGATGCTCTTGCGGCTCGAACTGATGCACATGGAAGGGATAGAGATGGTCTACTTTGAATATACCAATGAGCAGCCACACTTTTCAGTGTAAACTTCAGCCTGCGTTTTTCTATGTCTTGTTCATTCTGTTTATTGTGCATTTAGGATTATACCTGTTTATTTATCTTATGTATATATGTAAATGTTGAATGCTTGGTTACATTGGAAGATTGTTATAGATTTGTAATAAATTTGTGATGCTTATTATTGAAGTTTTAATTCAAAATATTATATTTCACTTTCATGCACAAAAGGTGTTTGTAGAAATGATTCAATGATTTATGAGTTCATTGTCCGTTTTTGTTAATTCCTTGGACTATTTTAGCTTATTATCATTAATTTTATATTTATGTTATTGAGATATTATATACTCCGTAATTATTATTGTTCATCATTTTTTTGTTCATCAATTATTGGGTTTGAATATGACTTGTTAATTGTGGAAGGTCCTAGGTTATAGAGTTCATATTTAATACAATTGATGTTTTTTTTGTAAAATAGGTAAAAGACCTTTGAAGACCTTCTTAGCATATTTCGGTGAATTCTATTTTGTTCTATGAATTATATTAACTCCATGAGTTGAAGTCATTTTGTTTTGCATCTATGAAAATCAATTTCTTTATTCATAACATACTGTTTTGTGGTGGATTAGATTTTCAATTTAGTCTATCTACATGCTTAATGATTACTGAATCCCTTACATGTTTAATGTCATTGTGATATGGATTAGATGCTCAGTATTGTTGTCATGTTGGGAAAGTAGAAGATTAGAGTTGTTGTCTATAAACTTATTTTCCTATATGTTCTTATTACTAAAATTCTTATTCATAATCCTCTTACTATTTATTGTAATTTTCATCGATTCTTTGCAGTTTGGCCCGGAAGAGGCAACAACAACAGGACGATGACACTAAGAACATTATATCTTTTGTTGTCATTACTATATCTACTTTCAAGGCACAAAAAAGAAATCAAATGAACATAATGATAGGAAAACTCCAACTAATGGAGAGAAGATGAATGAGGGGCATAATTAAGGACCAACAAAGAACCTTACCTCTATTACACCAGCCTAGCTTGTGAGGTCCAAAGGACAAGATAATATTCAAGTCTTGTAACAGTCACTTTGTAAAGTAATGTTTTTGTATTCGATATGTAAGTGTATTTGTTTACATTTGTTTTCAAAGATGTATCTTATATGTATGCAGATTTATTGTGTAAAATAATGGTGAATGATGTTGTACAATGTCCTAAAATGTATTGCCCAAATGTTACCTTATTAATGAATATGTATTTGATAATTTTATCTCAAATTTCCATACGAAAATAATTTCCATATGAAAAGAATTTTTTCTGTGTGGTTAAAGCATCGCCATTGTGTTCGTTTATTTTGTCTGCGCGTAGAAAGTAATTGTTAGCGTATTCGTTTAGATTGTTTGTGTGTTTGTTTATTCGTCTTTTGCAGAAAAAAATTGTCTGTGTGTTCGTTTATATTGTCTATATGTGGTTAAAACGTGGTCCTTGTTCATTTATTTTGTTTGTGTGTAGAAAATAAATATGTGTGCCGCTTTTATATTGTCTGTGTGAGATTAAAACATTGTCTTGTGTTCATTTATTTTGTCTGTATGTGGTTAAAACATAAATTGTCTTCTCATAATTTCTAAGCGAATTGAAATTGTGAGAAATTATCCGTTTTCATTTATATTGTCTGTGCGTGGTTAAAAGATGGTCAGTGTATTAATTTATTTATTTTGTTTGTGCATGGAAATTTATTATCTGTGTTCATTTATGTTATACGTGCATGGTTAAAATATTGTTTCTGTGTTCATTTATTTTTTCTGTGCATAGAATCTAACTATACGTGTGTTCATTTATATAATCTGTGTGTGGTTTAAACGTGTGTTAGTTTATTTTGTCCATGCGTGGGAAATAATTGTGTGTGTGATTGCTGTTTGTGCGATACCACAAGTTTACCTAAGATTGATAATTATTTTGTTTGTGAGCATCATAGACATCCTATTTTTAGGAAAATCATCCTGTCAAGCTAAATAGCATTAGGCTAATTACACTCGGATTAATAACACAACGCAAATCCTTTGGCACCATTCAAAGTTATTTTCATAATACAAAAGATAAACTTTGAAAACACAAACAACTGTAACTAAACTATCATTGTAAATACAAGAACATTAATTTCACAATACAACTAATTACAAAAATCAATAGCACAACATTGCATTTATCCTCTTATCCAACTCTGCAAGTCGAGATAAAGCTACCAGCAGTGGTTTTTGCACCAAGAGATATTCCAAGGTGGCCTGTTGTAAACATAAAATGCATTGGATAATCCGAGCACGAGTAATTCCAATTTCAAGCCATTTATAGATGCCAACTAAGTCATTCAAATCTTTTAAAGCTCAACACGTAGAGAAATCATATAACACATAGATGCATAGATATAAACTCAATGTAATACTAACTCACTCTGGACTTTGCCATTTTACATAAAACAACATCAACATCATAACATATAAATGAACACACAGACAAATATTTTATACGCACAAACAAAATTAATTTACACACAGACAATATTTTAATCAAAAACATACAATATAAATAAACACATATTCTAAAACAAGTTCTAACCTTTTCCTTTACCATATTCTCCCATTTTGTTTCAAATAAATTGTGAACTATACATATACACTACAATTTATAATATATCCAAAAAACAAGTTCATCTTATAAATTTAACAGATTCTCCATATAACAACAATTACAACTATAATTGCAACTTCAAGAAACATTGATTAAAATTTCAGTGAAACATTTAAACAAATATGTCATGTGCATAAAATAGAAATATAATAGTTTGATTGAAATTTGAAAAATTAACATCACCAGTCCATAACTATGAAACAAACATAATCATACATTCATCATCATACTAAAATCTTTACCTATCAAATAACAAGATACATACAAATATGAAAAAGGAAAAAGCTATAATCGTAGAAGGAAAACAAAGAAGTACTCCGTATATAATTACCTCAAGATTTATCAAAGTTTTGAGACAAAATCATTGGATAATGTTGGATTAATTTTCCTGAGTGGAGCTTTGAATGTGAATTGAAAAGGAAGAAAAAAGGGTGTAGAAGAAGGGAGGGGAGGAGAAACGGCGTAGGAGAAGGAAAGTGGGAGAGAGGAGAGATAAGTGGGGGAGGGGGTAAATGGGGTGAAAGAGGGTAATGTTTTTTGGGAGTATTTATAGTGGGTATAGGGTGGGTTTAATAGTGTGTACAAATAGAAAAATCCTATGTTTATTGAGGAATACAGTTATACATCAATAGTAGGTGGATTGCAAGTCAGATACGTAGTACTGGTAGTATTTTTTTTTTTTTTGAAAGCTACTAGTAGTATACGTAGTATTAGGGAATACATTCTTGAATTATGTCCATTTTTTCACCCTAGTTTTTAAAGTTTTTGTCCATATTTTTTATATTCAATGAATTAGTTATACAAAAAATGAAAAAGTTACTAAAATGAATGCCACAAGTGGTTCAGGACTTCAGGCTCACTCAAAACCAAAATACACAGAATTTTTGGTTTCACAGAGGTACAACAATTTGGAGTAGGCCAGGCGAGGCAACAAATTTGTGGGCATGGCGGACAAATGAATATCACCGCAATGGTCTCTCAGCCTTCCCTTAATAAATGGGGCGGAAAATGCACTAAAAAAACAAAGCCCTAGAAACCATGTTTGAAATGTACAATTTTTGCAAATTGTCCTGAGGATATATTCAAGGGTTGCTATTGAACCTTAGGTATGCTCAGTTTCCTTTTCTTCCTCTCTTAAATAAGTTAAATGTAATTCTTGTCTTGCTGCAATTCCTTTCAATTGGATAATAATCAATTGATGCACTTGATTAATTCATTATTTATTTTATGAATTCATGAATGAATACCAAATAGATCAATATCTGTTGTTTATCTAGCATCATTTGATGTTTCTCCACAGCCATGGACACTGAAAACAATCCCACAGACAATAGATTTGTTATATTAAAAAGGTGTATTATGTGCAATCCTAACCATATTTTGATCCTAATACGTTTTGTGTGTGTCAGGGAAAGAAGAAGAAGAAGTAAAAGGATTTGATGTAGGCAGGTTATTATATGTTTTTTTTCTTTTTCTGAATAACAGAGATTATAAATTTGATTTTTTCCCTGTATTGATTATTGATCCTTTTTGTGCAGAAGGGAAGGAAGTATCCTTGGATCTGTAACAATCCTCAATAAGGTTTGTGCATATCCGAGGGGAAGATAGGAATGGAGAATGGTCTTGAAAATGAAAACCCTTTGAAGCCCCTCAAGGCTATCCCCGACAATGGCGTTGATGATGATCAGCAGCTTCTTGAAGGCACACCAACATCTTCTGGTTCCTCTTCACCTTCGACCTCACCTTCCGCGTCCTCATCTCCTTCTTCTTCTTCTTCTTCGTCGTCGTCTTTTGAAGACGAATCAGTCGATCCCGAAAAACCTCAGCACTCACCTACCCCTGAATCTTTATCGTGTCCTGACATTTCAACCCATACACCTCAATGGAGCATGATGAGCGGTTCTCCTAGTAATAGCTCTCTCTTATCATCATTCCCAGAAAATCGATCGCTTCCATCAATCCCATCTGTGACGGGGCAACCTGCAGGGTATGATCCCAATCGTATCCCGCTTACCGTGTTTGACAGCAGCAGGTCCAATGCACCAGGAATGGATTGGAGTGTTGCTTCAACTGAGTCGTTGTTCAGCATTCACATGGGTAATGCTAGCTTTTCTAGAGAACATGCTCTTCTTATGATGAACAAGTCCGGTGAGCTCATAAAAACCGAAGATGGGACTGCTTTGTTTTCTTCTGAAGCTACTAAGTATGGCAACGATCGTAAGAGCTTCTCCTCTACACTTCCTCCAGTTATGGAAGGTGGGGCTCTAGATAATGAAGAGAAGAGTGAGGCTTTACCAGTGCCACCGGAATCCAATGTTGAAAGTCCAAATCCAGTTTCCCCTAAGCAAAAACCAGAATCGAGTAGCAAAATTGCAGCGTCTAGTGAAATCCATTCATTTGCTATTAACTCTGCAAACACATCAGATGGAAGAAGTGGAACTGCTACTGGTCTAAATGCCCCACGGCTTTCTGATGAGAGTGGGACGAGCAGCAGTTCCTTTGCTTTCCCATTGTAAGCTCCCTTGTTTTCCTTTCTATTATGATTTGATGTTCCATCTTCAAAGGTAAACCTAATAGATAAGGTAAACTAATAGATATAGTGGTGTCTCATTTGAGCAAACTCACATTGAAAGTTAGATGGTGCAGTACAAAACTTTATATGTTGGTTTATATTTATATTTGGCCAAACTGTGAGACTTGACACCCTTCAAATGTCCTCAACCGTCCATTTATTGGTTTTGGCTCTTCAGATTCTTTATAACAACACATTCCGTTGGTTTACAGGCTGGTGAACGATGGTGGAAATGCTGCGTCGTTGAAATCGGTGCCCGAAAAAGCAGAACCAGAACAGCTAGAGTCACAATCACAGGAAGGAAACTCAAAAGAAGAGCCCAGAGAGGCTGAGACCAGTTGGTTCTCATACTTGTTTTGTTTGAGGCGCTGTTCCTGATATATAGAGGGGGCTCTTAAATCTTTTGTAAATATTTTTTCAAAAAAGTCATCTGGTGTGCGTGCTAGAAGTTTTGGAAGTCGGAGACTGGAGGTGGCTAACTTCATTATAAATTGTATAACATTCTTTGTGCATGTCAGGGACATATATATAGGGAATGAGTTGGGTATTGAATCTGCATGGTGCATTCAAGCTTCAATTGGTTGAATATCAATTAGGAACTATGATGAATTAAGAAGTAATGCTTTCACACACAGTAATATTGCGGTTGAACCGTTGAACTCTTGAACAGTTGAACAGAATAAGCTTATTAGGTTAAAATTATCTAAAGATATGTTCAAAGTGGTTTCAGGATGTTTTCTTTTGGACTTAAATTTGCTGGTCTAATCTGGTCTCGTATGTTTAAGTTTGATTTGGTCTGAACTGGTCTAGTAAATGTGTGGTCTGGATGTCTGATCTCTATGTATTTTATGATTGTCCAAGTCTGGTCTGATCTATTTAAGTCTAGTCTGGTCAGTTCTGGTCTGTTTAAGTCCGATTTGGTCTACGATACAAAACAGTCCAAAACAAAACATTCTTAAACAACAAAAAACTCATGTATGATAATAAAAGTTTCATTTTTCTTTCAGCAAAAAAAGAACTTATGAGTTATGATGTGTCTTATTACCATCCTGTGCATATACTTCTAGTCTAACATAAGCATAAATGAATCAAATATATTTTAACACAAAGGCAATGGATTATTCAGCTTGATTTTCAGATAACCATACAAAATAAATAAATAAAACTTGTTGAAATACTATCGGAATATGGGCCCCATGAATTGGTTTAATCGTGGGAGCAACGCAGGCACCTAAGGTAAAAACAAGTAAACAACAAGCCCATACAAAACCTCAGGGTTAAAAAAGTACTCAAATACAGCAGTCTAAACATGGATGAAAACAAAAGCGCTACTCTCCTCAGGGCAGAACATGAACGAATCAGAATTACTAACTTTTCATCATCATCATAATATTGGTCCTCTGCACTGTCATGGCAAGTGGCAATTGAAGTTTCAAAATTGGGGACAAAAAGCGTTTAGCTTTAGTATGCTGATGAAGCAGCTGCAGCATTCTGGCTCAACAGACCACCTCTCCTTCCCCACCTCCCTCCTCTTCCTTCATTTCCACCACCTTGGCCCCCCCTTGTGCGGCCTGAAAATTCACGACCTCCATAATCATTTCTCCCATAGCCACGACCTCCTGCGAAATCGCCATGGTCCCTGAACCTTTCATTTCGGTACCCTCGACCCGAAGAAAACCGACCTCTCCCCTCACCTGGTGGGAAAAGAAATGGGGGACAGTTAAAATTGTTGTTTGTGAAGGGTAATTGTGAGCAGTTTAGGCAGACATAGATACTCCTCTGATTCTCTGAACTCACCTCGGGCTGTAGTCCTTTTTACCTCAATTACTACTTTTCGGTCCCCAATCATAATAGGTGAAGCCTGAATTGAAGAGCACTAACAATTAGAAGAATTTAAAAAAAAACAAGATGAAACAGCATATACACTGAATAATGCATGCAAGTAATGCTTAAACCCTTGTCCAAGCATAATAGTTACTATAACCAAATACTTCGTAGATCATAAGATGGAAGTCTTTTGGAGAGGAACTGAGGGGGGTTGGGCTGCAGAATCAGGATGCATTACATTTTGAAATTAGATAGCCTTGCATGGCATTATATTAGAACTCTCGGATCTAACTAATGAGCCAATTTAAATTTCACACCTATGCCTGATAGGCTGATAATAAAGGCATGATTCAAACATCACACACCTCTATAGCATTGTTCATAGAGCTCATATCTTCAAATTCAACAAAGCCAAAGCAGAATCCCTGTTGCTGTTAAAAAGAGAGATATTAGATAAGAATTCAAATGACTGCAACAATGAATGTGAGATGAACTTACCCTATTACTTCTGACTTGAACACCTTCATGCTTAATAGGTCCATATTTCTTAAATTCACCCTCCAGTTCATCTACTGTTATATCGAAAGGCAAATTTCGAACATGAATAGAATGCCCTGCAGATGGATAAACAAAATGAAGAGTGATTACACAACTAATGGTAAAAATGTAGTACAAGAACACAAATGAAATATGACAAGCCAACTAAACATGATTGATATTTATTAACTTTAACATTACTGGTGTAAAAATCAAAATAACTAATCATGAACTACTTTCAGCCAATCCCTATTAAATACTCCCTCCACCCCGCAAAAATGTTCCCGCTTTCCTTTTTTAGCAGTCCCAAAAAGAAGTTCCCCTTTCTCTAAATGGAAAGTTATCCTACATCAAAACAGTGTCAAACAGTGTCGAAACAGTGTCCCCCTGGTAAGTTTATTTCCTTAATATGTGTGTAGGTCAAACCGGGAACATCTTTGCGGGACGGAGGGAGTATATAAAGTAGTTACAGAGAGCATTTCATCACAAGCATAAGAAATGATCAAGCAAATGAGTTTGAAAATTGCTATTAGTGTATGATGTACCATCTTGTGCATCCACACTTTCATCAATAACTCCACTGGCGGCTGTAGGAGCGGGTGGTTGTTCAGGTGCGGGAGCACTCACTACCAAGCTAGATGACTGTTTTTCAGTCTTCACCCTTGGATCGCGGATGGGCACATATACTTTTGTTGCCCCTTTCTTCATCTGTGAACTAAGAACAGATGCATATGACATTTTTTTCGCGTCGTCTAGGGCAGCAGAAGTAGTTGACTCCGGACTTGCAGAGATTTGGTTCTCATTTATATGAAAATCATCTTCTGTTTGTATTTCTCTATCAATATCAACTTGTTTCTCATCTTCCAACATGCTATGCACTTCTATGTCAACATTTTCAACCTCTTCTATGTGAGAGGTAGCTGGGTAAACATTTGGACATTCAGGCTCATCAACCGCTTCTGCACATAAAATGATAATGCTGAGATAAACCCTTTCTTTCAAGAGAGCTTAAAAAACAATTGATAGGTAGCATACCTAGATCAGGGCTTGGAACAACTGTCTGTGCATCATCAACTCCAACCATTTTTGCATTAGCTTCTGGGTTATCATCTTCCTCAACGTCCTTTCCTTCTGTTGTACTAAAAACATCTGTCTCAACATACCTGAGAATATCATTCAGAACGAAATAGCCAACTTTTTGTGGAGCAAGAAAAAATGTCTGGGTGAATTTCCTTTCCAAATTGTCCTCTCCAGTTAAACTCCCAATAACCAAAACAATCACCCCACCATTGTAGGAATCCTGAGCATCAACGGTCTTAATCACTGCCTTGTAACTTTTGTAATCAAAGGAGCATATCTTTTCATTAATACTCTGCCACAAATAAGTGAAAGAAGCACAGGTCTCAGAAATGACGGATCAATATTAACAGTTCAACACATAGTTGTCATGGCGCATGGCGACATCCATGGCGATGGCTCAAATATGGCGTCACCACATGATAAAAAAACAAATAACTAAAATACGAATTGTAGATACTGTAATTCTATCACCCAACCACCAAAACATGATAAAAAAGGTTGGATACCAACATTCTAACCAAAACATGTGAAGTTAAAATAGTTTAAAGTAGTCCAGAAAAACATAATATTCAAAAAAAGGCTCATGTCTTTCAAAAAAAGTGAACTTGTTTTTGTTTGATGATAATGCCATAATCACCACCCATTATCACACTCCTCTTCATCTTGGTCTGAATCTGAAGTTGTGAAGGAGTGTCTTATTTGATATGAAATTATGAAGTTCAAATAAGCTTCTGTCTTTGGAAATTAATGGATGCCAGTACGTTACTTTTGCTTTAATAAATTGATGCCACGTTAAAAAAAGTTGGAAAACGATAGTGTACATGATGTTTCAAACTTCCAGTACCTTAAACCACTATACCTATTTTAAATTTTCAATAGACATGAGACGTAAAGGTTTAGCTCTTCTACTGTTGCTGTGGTTCACGTTTAACAATTAGGGTTCCTTTAGATACGTGTTACTTGTATCTTTATTTACTTTCGATTAGGATTTCTGTTAATATAATGGGCTAACATATTAATTTCTTATTATGGTTTTATTAATATTATGGCCTGGCAGATTATTTAAGTATTTACCATGGCCAAAAGCCCAAAAATCACAAAGTAAACTGGTTCAGATTTGTTTAATATTATGGAGCAATTGCCATGGCGATGGCACAAATAAGGAGCCGCCATCTGTATGGCCGTCGGCTTGTCGCCATGAAGACTTTCAAGGCGATGGAGGGTTTTCTCGCCATATGGCGCATGGCGTACACACCATTCTTTGCCATCGACAACTATGGTTCAACTTCAACATTGTTCACAAACTAGCTACTATACAATGAAACTGGTAAAAAACTGGTCAAAAATACCAACAAGAAAAGGAACAAGAAGAGTATGCCATAAGTAATTTAGTTAGGCTTTTAACACCAAACAGCCTTTCGACAAAAAGAAGCATAGTTTGGGTTGTACTCGGCCTACTTACATCCATGGTTGCCACAGACGTCATAGAGCCATTAGGATCTGGGCGACTTAACACACTTGTTTCCTGATAAAATTTGTAGACCTGTCCTGGAGAGTGATGAAGAATACCGTAGTACTGTTCCACAAAAGCCTTCCCAACCACTTCTGCACTGAGTCCAGGAGCTCTTTTTGGCGATGTGGTTTGTGTTTCCATCCTACCAATAATATTTAAAACAAAATAATCGCTTAGCTTTTATTCATTCAGCCATAGAAGACAGAAGTACACTGAAGCTAAATTGAGAGCGTCCCAATGCAAGAAAGGAACATACTCCGTAGCTAACAAGGATGACAGTCTAAACTCTAAATTACTCGAGCCAGTAACTATACTGTGGCAGCACATACACCCAATGGAACCTATAATTTTTCCGAGTTCTTGAACATCAAGGAAACACTTTCAAATGAGTAACTCAAGATAAATCCAATAGGTTATGGCCTCGTTTGGATAGTAGCGGGTCGATGAAACCGCTGATTATTTTATGGGTGAAAACGCTGCAAAATGCAGCGGGTAGGGTGCAATCCGCCGAAAACCAAACGACACCTATATGGGAGAATGAGGATCTATAGGAAGCGAATAACAAAAGAAAGCCATTAACACCAAAGTGATTTAAGTCCTAAAAACTTTTGGTCTCATCTCAACCAGGGGCGTAGGTACAGGCCATCCCAAGTTCAGTAAAAAGTAAAACCTTTTATTCAGGGACCACTTGGTATGGCTGTCAGTTTCTAGCTTTTTGTTTTATGAATGTAAATGATGGTATATGTTGCATATATAATGAAGTAAAAATAATCATACTTATAGTAAGCAAGTTAATTTTGAAAAATTCTAAGTTTCTAACAAAAAATCTATAAATAAAATCACCTGCTTTTCACAATTTTGCTTTTAGTTTCCCAAAAGAGAAAACAAAGAACAGAAAGATACTGAAAGAGGCCTTAATATGTAATTATTTTGTAAATATTTACATGAATGTTTTTTATCGACCCACCCAATAATTTATCCTGACTGGTGACTATGCCACTTATCTCAACACTATGCATGATACCTAAACGCATCTAAGCAAACAGGCTGACTATTGCATAACTGTGATGGCCAATGGCAAGTCACTAAGTGATGATTACAGACTTAAAATTCAGCTGAATAAAGCATAAAAATGCAAGAACCGGCCTGCAAGTTAGGAAACTCCAAAGAACCCCTAAAGCAGAGTGGGTTTATTCCACTCTAACAACCTGAGAGTGAAAAGCAAAAGAAGACCGAAAATAACAAAACACTCCATCTAATTCACACAATTCAAAATCTACCCCCCAATCCACAGATCTGTACTACTGCCGAAACTGAAAATTCAAAGATCAAGTTAACTGATTTACATATGGAACAGCACGGATGATTAAAGAACGCGTATAGATCATTAACGGATTCCACATTTGATTCCATAAAAGAAAAAGTCTATAGCACGGGAATTCAACAGCATAAGCTACCGTAAAGTTAATTACAGCCATAGGATTTGATACATTTACAAATTATTTACCTGGAATAGATTTAGTTTGTATAAGGCGGCGAAGATTTGTGAAAAAGATGATCTTTAGCGTGAGAAAGTGGGGGAATATAAAAATCTGGCGGATGCTTCAGCTTGGGCGAGCAGTGTAAATAGAACCATGGTCCTTGTCCTAGTCCTAGAAGGCACCAAATATACCCGTTTAACCGGCACATGCATACACGGATCTGTTTGACGGACCTTAATTTGGAAGTTACCGAGTACGAGGGTGACTTTTTTAGTTAACGAAATTACCACATAAGGAGGTTTCAATGGACTAGTTTCGGTTCTTAGACAAAATATTTGAAACTAAGTAACTTTTATACGAAGTATTAAAAATGAATACGTATACGGTAAAATATACCGTACACCCGGTTGTACGGTGAGAACCGTACAACCGGGTATTTTTGAAATTAATTACCACTCAGATGATAAAGATTAGGGATGAAGAAGGCACCGAAGAGTTCTGTTTGCTACGCGCGTTGATGTCCTGGGAATCGACGGAGGAGGTGCCGATGTTTGGCCTGCTTTGACGAGGAGTTCTGCTTCGATGTTTGCTTTGTTCTGCTTGCGTTTTTTTGTTTTGTTTTTTCTTTTCTTCCTTTCCTGCTTTAACTTGTTTCCTTCTTTCTTTTCACTTTCGTTTTTTTTTTACTTTAATGTTATTCAATTATAAAATATTTTATGTATTAATGTTGTGCTTTTATGTAACTCATTTTGTAAGTTACAAATGCTCATTTGATATCGGTTTTATGCTAATTTTAAAATATCATTTCGATACTCATTTCGTAAGTTATCTATACTCATTTGATATTGGTATAATACTCATTTTAAAATGAGCATTACACCATACATTTCAAAATGTCATATTCATGCATATTGGTGTAATGCTCATTTTAGTTTTTTCGATGCTCATTTCATAGGTTATGCATTCTCATTTACTATTTGAGCATACTGGAGATTTAAGTGAGTTTTTTGAATTTTTTCGATACTCGTTTTGTATGTATGCTCATTTTATCTTGGTGTAATACTCATATGGTAAGTTACTTATGCTCATTTGATATTGATGTTATGCTCGGTTGTAAAGTGTTATATCAATGCATATTTCAAAACTGTCATATTACATTAGATTTGCATACAAAAATTCATAAGAGTTGAATGTAGATATAATTTAAGAAGTTTTTATTAAAGAAAAAATAAGAAAAAGAAAGTGAAATAAAAGATATGAAGCAGAGATCACGTTACTCATTGTTAGCCTCCTAATACTCAATAAAATATGTTCGATGCTCACTAAAATTACATTATTACTCATTTAACGGAAGTCGCGATTTTTCACTCAAATTACAAAATTGCCACCGAAAATTTTTTGGCCTGTATTGGTTGTTGGGCTGTCTTCCTCAGTTGAGCTGGGTGTACGTACACCCGGTGGTATGATATACGGGCTCTACGTATACTAAATAACTATTAGGGGGTGACGATCAAAAAAAACTTTTGGGGTGTTTGGAACTAATTCTCATTCTGCTTCTTTTTTAAAGTCGAAGCAAAATCAGATTCAGTTTTCAGAAGTTGATCTCCCCCAGCTTCTAAAAAACTGATTCTAGGAGTAAATTAGACACCAGAATCACTTTTGCACTTTCACTCAAACACTCCAACTTCTGCTTCTGCTCCCTGAAGGAGTAGAAGCAGTTTTAAGAATCAGATCCAAACACCCCCTAAGACAGATTTTAAAAATCCAGATTGTGAATCCTAGGAGTAGACGTAGAGTCAGTCATTTCATACAAAGCAATCTGACTCGTTAAACCTAAAACGAACGAATCTGAAACCTTGTCTATCAAAAGAACTCCAAAAATCCAAACATTCAAGAGAATATTACCCGAAATAGGACTAAAAAGGTTTGAAAATTTCAAAATATGACTACCTTGTTTTTATTCCCAAAATAGGACTGATTAATGTCATGTTTTGGCAGTACCAGACTTCAAACATGGCAGTATTTTCCAAACTTGGCAGTAATTACTCCTATTTTGAGAATAAAAAAACATGACAGTCCTATTTTGGAATTTTCAAACTGTTTTAGTCCTATTTCGAGAACTTTCCCAACATTCAAACCAAATCTACTCAGACTAAAACAAAAACAATTGTTAGTAAAGAGAAATTAATATTGAAATAAAATCTTTCCACAAAGCTCTTCCTCGTATGGAGGTGGTTCCGGGGGAGGACAAACTCTTGCAATATGGGTGAATACCAACTCCACCACCGTCAGAATGACCGACCAAGGCTTCACGATCCAGCCTCGATACAACCTCCCAGCCGCACCTCATTCATCCGCCAATGTCATCTCCTCCGACGTAGTTGCAATCCCAAGTATTTGAACACTTAAAATCAATATAATTTGCCGCTCCAACCCCATATTGATAGGGGAGGCGGAAAATATTAACCCTTACAAAGAGGGGAGACGGCCGCTGGGGTATTCCTCTCTCTGAGGATGTACTGAATATAAAACTAATTTTTTATCAATATAATATTGTCTTGAATCTAATAAAAAAACAATGAATTCACTAATAAATCTGCATTTTAGCCCAATTCTCAGTCTTTGTAACTCATCTCTATCCATGAAACCCAAAATCCAAATTTTGCATTAGGTTTGTCGATCTTACACTGATTCAACTCCTAAACTTATTATATTACTAGTTTTTGTATCGCGCGTTGCGCGAGTAGGTTAATGCCCAATAGTATTTATAGTACATAAATATTTGTTTAGCCCAAAAGAATATAAATTGCAATTTAATGATTACAACCTTGTGATCAATACCACATTAGAAGGAAGCCCATTATATTCTAAGCCAATAGCATGTGATATTATTTGAGACTAACAAAAAGATATACTCCGTATTAGGATGTTTTCTTTTGGACTGAAATTTGCTGGTCTGGTCTGGTCTGGTCTGTTTAAGTCTGGTCTGGTCTGGTCTGGTCTGTTTAAGTCTGGTCTGGTCTGGTCTGGTCTGAACTGGTCTGGTCTGGTCTGGTAAACGTCTGGTCTCTGTGTATTTTATAACTACGGAAGTCTGGTCTGGTCTGTTTAAGTCTGGTCTGGTCTGGTCTGGTCTGTTTAAGTCTGGTCTGGTCTGGTCTGATCTGTTTAAGTCTGGTCTGGTCTGGTCTGGGACTGAAAACAGTCCAAAAGAAAACATCCTTAAACATTACAGAGGGATTGCATTTAAAATTGTTGATCAACTATCGCTTACGAGCATTGTCTTCTTATCATGCTCATTTAATTTTCCTTTTCAAAGCACGTAATGACCAGTTTTGGTTGGACTTGGTCGACGCAATGATGACCAGTTTTGATTTTGTTGGGCTTCACTTCGTATGGATGGCATCACAACATCTATAATATAGATGTGCTCATCTATAATATAGATGTGCTTGAAGATAATTTTCCTGGAAAAATATAGATGTGCTTGAAGATAATTTTCCTGGAAAAATATACAAAATAATATCCACATATAACTACTTATGAGATTGTAAATCTTAGTAGTAACATATCCATCATATAAATCTTAATACAAATGGATTTAAATCACCTTAACTGATGCTGAATTTCTTCGAGTCATTCCAACATACGGCCACTTAAAATTTGGGAAATAAGATATATCAAGCAAATGAGTTATGACAACCCATGATAAAACTATATAGAAGATTATTCATATCAGATTCTCAAAATTCAAAACCCAATTCTAGGGATGGTAATGATTACAGTAATCATGTATTTGTTACCAAAACACAAATACAAGCCCAACTTGTTTTAGTTTGATTGCCTCAAACCTATTTCAAACCCGATTGATTTTGGTCAAACCCAATCCTAAACCTTGATTAGAATTTTCACATGACACTTGAACCCAACCAGTAACATGTATTATAATAATACTTCCTCCGTTCTTTAATCCAATCCGGATAGAGCTAGGACTAAAGGGCATAATGTTGTGCTGTAATACCACAATGGCCAAAAAAAGGTCAAATTTGCATTTCAAGTCATAAAGCAAATATGCCTCGATGTAATTGGTAATGAAGCCTATATTGTGGGGACTCGGTACTGCACTTGGAGAGCTGCCCCCTTATTTCATTTCAAGAGCAGGTAAAGAGTCAAAAAACCTTCGGTGTTTTCATGGCAGTGCAACCCATTTTCTAAATCCCCTTCAAAGTTTGATTTGTTTAGAAGAAACTGTGAAACAGTTAAATTCCAATTAAGTTTCTTGAGTATAAATGGTTACTCAATTTAGTTTTTTTGTTTGTTACAAAATTTGATCTTCGGTATGCATTTTGAGTTCAGTTTAGTCTGCGGGCAGATTTTGCTCTTAAAATTACATTCTATGACACTTGTAGTTATTTTAAATAAATAATAGAGGGAAAGTTCCCAAAATAGGACTAAAACAATTTGAAAATTCCAAAATAGGACTGACATGTCTTTTATTCTCAAAATAGGAGTAATTACTGCCAAGTTTGAAAAGTATTGCTATGTTTGAAGTCTGGTACTGCCAAAACATGACAGTAATTGGTCCTATTTTGGGAATAAAAACACGACAATCCTATTTTGGAATTTTCAAACCTTTTTTAGTCCTATTTCGGGTAATATTCTCTAAATAATACAGTTGCAAAGAGACATCTCACCTATCTATAATACAAAAATAAATAATTAGAAACTAGACCTGAAGTGCCCATTGTAGAAGACATTAGAGAAAACTTAAGACTCTAGGGTATGCGAAGGGCTGAAGTTTCACGCTCTAGCACAGAAGCAGAATTTCGAGCTATGGATTCAACATCTGCAGAAAGACAAGAAATAACCGATTGAGCTAGAGTCAAGCCTATATGCAAAGGAAGAGTTGGAACCCCATCCAACGTGGCTTCAAAGCGGATAGATCGGGGGTGAGTTGCATTGGGTTGGAAGTTGAGACCTGATTCTCTCCCTCTCGTTTGAGGCTCTTCTACGGACACCTAAATTCCATCTTTTTTCCTCCATTAATCCTTAGTTTTGAGCTTGGATATTGGTTGCTTTACCTCCTAAACTTCTTTGGGATGTAAATCCTTCAATTTTTGAGCTCATTTTTGGGATTATTGGATCTCTTTCACTCAAGAACACTTGCGCATTTACTGTTCACGACCGTAAGTCAACGCCTAGAACTCGAGCTTCTCTTGTTCAATTTGTGTTTG